AGTGGAAGTCGGATTCTGGAAGTGGAAGTCCTCCCCTCTTAAAGCATGCTGGCTGGGGGATTCTGGGAGTGGAAGTCCCCCCCAATTAAAGCATTCTGGCTGGGGGATTCTGGGAGTGGAAGTCCTCCCCTCTTAAAGCATGCTGGCTGGGGGATTCTGGGAGTGGAAGTCCTGCCCTCTTAAAGCAGGCTGGCATGGGAATGTGGCTTGCATCCAGTCCTCACACTTATGACCATTGCAGTATCTATCCCCACAATGAGTGAATTTGGGTGTTTGGCAACAGGCACGCATTTACGATGGTTGCAGCGCCTGGGGTCATGTGATTGCGAGTTGTGACCTTCCCAGGGGGCTTGTGATAAGCAATGGGAGGGGGAGACGTGAATCACTTAACGACCAGGGGAATTAACCAAACAACTGCACAACAGTGGCAGGAAAGGTCACAAAATTAAGATCTGTTTTGCTTAGCAAGAGAAATTCCGGTTGCAATTGCGGACATGTATCCAGGATTATGGCTGTAAAAACCAATGTAATAAATAAAGAAATATAATTGTCCGTATGGACTTCAACTCCCAGAATCCTCAGCCATTCCTATGGTGGCTGGGGGAATTCTGAGTCGTGGGGTTCACCCCCATTCAGGAAGTGGCGGAAATTGGGAAATACAGACAAGAGACTTCCTCTTTTAAGCGGGTTTATTTGGTCTGTCTGAAAAGTTTGTCAATCAGCAAGTTTCACCTTCCTGTCTCACTGCTTATATTCTTAAATTCGGCTCCTTCCAACTTCCGCTCGGCAAAAAGGCAGCCGTTTTTCTGCCTCGTTCTCCGGGTCGTTGAGAAATTCTTTGCCATTTCCCCGACTGGCATTTTTCTGATGATTTTTGTCGTCAGAAATAGGAAACAGCACCAGCAGTTAGATCTGCGTAGGTAGTCCTCTACTTACGACCGCGACGGAGGTCACAATTTACGTCGCAAAGTGAGTCAGTTGTTAAGTGAATTTTGCCCCGTGTTAACAACCTTTCTTGCCGTGGTTGTTAAGCGAATCACAGCAGTTGTTAAGTTAGTTACATGGTTGTTAAATGAATCCCCGTTGATTTTGTTTGTCTGACAGTCACGTCACCCCGGGACTCTGCGACCGTCATAAATATGAGACAGTTGCCAAGCTTCTGAATTTTGATCACATGACCACGGGAAGTTGCAATGGTCGTAAGTGCGAAAAACGGTCGTAATTCACTTTATCGGCCCAAATTACCTGGGACTTATTTGATTTATTTATTGAATCAATACGCCTCACATCTCGCCCAGAGGTGACTGTAGACAGCTTACCCCAGAATAAAAACAATCCGGCAAAACTTTAAAATATGAAGATCATAAATATTAACATTTCAAATTAACATGAAAGTTAATGTATATGAGCAGGGTGGGGGAATGATCTTCCTTCCGTCCATCATGACATAAGCATGTGGAAAATATATGTATACGTAAATATTTTATCCTAAATAATCATGTGTATTTATATATAACTATAAATATTAATATACGTTAATATTAATAGTAAATCTCTCTCTATAAAAGCCAAATACCACTCACTCATCACAAAATTTCCAGAACTGTAAATCCTACAAACTTGAAATTAGACTCGTATGTTCCTCTTCGCTTCTAGGAGCTCACTAAGAAAGGATTTTTCAAAATGACCCTCCAATCATTAGTATTTCTTATACAGTAATTAGTACGCTCTGAGGCTAAGGAGTTCTACTTCCCCTCCTCACCTGAAAAGAACTCTGTTCCAACTGCCACTTGCCTCACATTTCGTTACCTCAGTTTAAACTGGGAGACGTTCCACTCCTTCACTCAGGAGTGGCTCGGGGCTCCTTATACTACTCAATGCCTACACCTTCCACCTCTGGAACTGCTTCCGACTCAAGGCCGCGGGAGTGATATTCCCTTATGTGTTTCAATCACCGACCACCGCCGAGCCAACGGATTGTGAACCAAATTTCTCCTGCATAGCCCAATCACATAGTTTCGTCGCGAAGCACGGGTATCCAGCTAGTAAATAATATTTTATATGTATAAAAGATATATAAGTCACCCAGAATTGCCCCAAACAGCAGGAGTAGGATAAATTTAATAAGTAAGGATAAGAATATCCCCTGAGTGACAATCTCGCCAAAATTTAATAATTTTAAAGCAATGTAAAATCCCACCGTATTTTGATCAGATTTGGTGATTCGACTCCCAACTGTGGTAAAACTGGTCGTAAAATCAGGTCGTGGGTGGCCTTAACTTACAACTGCAATGACTTAGGACAGAAATTCCTACCCCAGTTGTAGTCCTAAGTTGCTAGCCCTCATGGCGACATTCAGAAAACCCCGCTGAGTCCCAAAATCCAAACAGATCCCTGCGATTTTGAACGCAGTGTGGGAACCAAAAGAGACCTTCCTCCGAGTTCATCAGAAAAAATAAACAGTGGAGTTGTGATTGGAAGAACATTATGGCACAACAACCCTGTAAGGCCAGCCACGCTGGAAACAACTGAGTTAGTTAGGCAATCGTATAGCTGGATTTCTTTCTTGAGGTCTGGAGCCTTTGTTGGCCGAGTGTGAATTCCATCTATTTATCCTGTTAAAATGGACTTCTTCTTTCTTGAGGTCTGGAGCCTTGTTGGCCGAGTATAAAGTCCATCTATTTATCCTGCTAAAATGGCAAGCGAAAAATAGCGTTGTGTTTTTTTAACTGCGTGGCTGGGCTGATTGTCGAAAAATATGGTCGTCCTTGACTTACAACAGTTCATTTAGTGTCCGTTCAAAGTTATAACGGCGCCGAAAAAACCGACTCATGTCCATTTTTCACACTTACGACTGCGTCCCCATGGCCGCGTGACCCAAATTCCGATGCTTGGCAACTGACTCGTATTTATGACGGTCGCAGTGTTCCCGGGGGGGGGTCACGTGATTCCCGTTTTGCGACCTTCTAACCAGCCAATCAACTGGGAAGCCGGATTCACTGAACAACCGTGTGGCTCATTTAACCACTGTGGCGATTCGCTTAACAACCGTGGCGGTAAAACGGGGCGAAACTCAGTTAACGACTGCCTCGCTGAGCAACAGAAATTTTCCACTCTGTTGTGGTCGTAAGCCGAGGACTGTCCTGTGCGGGGAGTGAAAATTAAATGTGTTTTCTCCCCTTGCGCCTCTCTTTTGCGCGAGACGGTGTCGGGTGCAAATTTTGTGGGTTTTCGATTCGTACTTGGATTGCTGCGTGTAAATGAACAATCAAGAGCTGGTGTCTTTTGGGGGTTGTGTGAGTTGTGTACTGCTTATTTGTCCCTTCACTTTGGGGCTGGTGTATTCCCCACAGAGACTACTACTACAGTCCTTAGGGAGGGTGTAAAAGAGACGCGCACTTCGGTCCGTGCAAACCACACGCATGCAAAAATAGAAGTTTGGTTTTGCACCGGGCGACAACTTCTGCTGAATTCGTATTTGGTGCCGCAGAACTGCTAGATACAGGTAGCTCTCGGCTTACAGAAGCGAGTCCCAAATTTCCGTCGGTGAGCGAGATGGACATTAGGTGAGTTTTGCCCCTTTCAGTGACCTTTCTTGCCACCGTTGTTAAGTGAATAGCTGCCGTTTTTAAGTGAGTAGCACAGTTGTTAAGCGAATCCAGCTTCCCGATTGACTTGGCTGGCCAGTAGGTCCCCAGGATCCGCCAAAGGAGGATCCTGGTATCCCGGGAACACTGCGTAAATATGAGTCAGCTGCCAAGGAATTTTGATCTCCTGAACATGGGAATGTTGCAACGGTCGTTAAGTGTGAAAAAAATGGCCATGTCACTTTTTTTTCCGGGCTGCTGTAACTTTGAACGGGTCACTAAATGGATTTTTGAAAGCCGAGGACAAATCTGTATTGTTCTAAGCTTACCTGTTCGTCAAAAAAGCTGGGGAAATATTTTTTTGTGGGTCTGAAGTGTGTGACTTTCAACACAACCCCCCCCCCCNCCTGGTGATTGGCCCAAAGTCACCCAGCTGACTTTCATGCCTAAGGCGGGACTAGAACTCCCAGTCTCCTGGTGATTGGGCCAAAGTCACCCAGCTGCTTTCCTGCTTAAAGCGGGACTAGAACTCACTGTCGCCTGGTGATTGGGTGGCTAAATCCCAGGTTTGCTCATCTTTTTATCCTTTCCCACAACCAATTCTGGTTCTTTCCTTCCTTTCCCCAGACTTCAATTACCCCCCGGAGGATTATGATGTGGAGGGCAACGAGGAGATCAGAGTTCGGCCCGGCAGCTCGGAGACCATGCCCTACATCGACGAATCCCCCACCATGTCCCCCCAACTGGGCGCCCGCAATCCGGATGGCGGCAACGACGGAGGGACGTCGGAAAGCATTTCTCCCATCCCTGCCGATGGACTAGGCCCCGTGGTAAGTTCCTGTGCTTAAATGCGGCCCGGATTAATATTAATTAATACCTTGAACCTTTTTTGCATAGCTAAGTCTACAGCGTATAAATCGTCCTTGAGTTACGACAGTTCATTTAGCGATTGTTCGAACTTACAACGCCAGTGGCAAAAGTGACTTTTAAGTTTGTTTTTCTCACTTAACGACCGTTGCAGCATCCCCTGTGATCAAACTTTGGAAGCTTGGCAACAACTGACTCACATTTATGACGGTCGCAAGTGTCCTGGGGGTGGGGGGTCACATGATCCCCTTTTGCCACCTTGCGTTAAAAGTTTTGCAACGAACTTAACACCTGCAGTGATTCACTTAACAACCACGACAAGAAAAGTCGTAAACTGGGACACACAACTCATTTAACAAACGCGTCATTTAGCAACTTACGTTTTTGAGCTTCGGTTGCCGACTAGTTTAAATTTAATTTAAATTTTAAGTGAACTTTGAATTTTTAATATAAAGTTTTTTTAAAAAATAATTGAGCTCAGTTGTGGAGTTTTTAGTTTTGAAGTTTTAAAGGCTTGGGGAAGATGAGAGAATGAGGTCTCTGTTTTTTGGAAGGGGGTCTTGTTGTCCTTTGGTGGTCTCAACCAGATGTAGCGAAAACATCTGGAGCTCATATGTGCTCACAACAGCTGCCTGTTGATTTCATACAGCAGCTTAATGTGTTCTGCTTCCCACAAGCAGAATCCTTGACAAAGCCAACACAGAAGGTCCCATTTTATAGTCACTTGATGTCGAGATGGCGCAGTGGGTAGAGTGCAGTACTGCAGGCCACTTCAGCTGACTGCTAGTTCGGCAGTTCAGCGGTTCTAATCTCACCGGCTCAGGGTTGACTCAGCCTTCCATCCTTCCGAGGTGGGTGAAATGAGGAACCGGATTGTTGTTGGGGGNTTTTTCCTTTCTCATCTTCCTTCCTTTCCTAAGAGATTGCACAGCCTGTTTTTTTTTGGGGGGGGGGGCTGTTTCCCTGGGCTTCTCTGGCCAACTGCTGGCCAGATGCGTACGTGACGTCACGGGGATTTCCCCTGCGCTCGCGGGCGCCGGAGCTCTGCCGGGAAGTGGGGCTTCCACGCAGGCGCCCCCGACACGCGGGATCTCCGTGTATATATATATAGGAGGGAGGAGGTCCTGAGGAGAGGGGGGGGTCTCCGCCAGTCCCCCCCGCCTCTTGGCTCTTCTGCTTCAAGGCCCTCCCCCCGTTTTCGGAGCCGGGACTCATTCCTGCTCCGGGGCTCTAACCACTGCACCCTGCTGCCTGCCAGCCGTTTTCAAAGGGCGTCTCTTGGGTCGTAGAACGGGACAGCCGTGGCAGGGGGGCAGCGGGCTGGTTCTGTTTGCACCCCGACTTTTTTTTAATTCCTTGCACCCCCTGCCTGGTTTTCCAAATTGGGGAGGGTCCTCCCCCAAACTCGCGTAATTGAAACCCTCCTCTTCCTCCCCCTCTTCCTCCTCCTGCCTTCTCCTCCTCCCCCTCCTCTTCCTCCCCTCCTTTCTTCCTCCTTCTCCACCTCCTCCTCTTCTTCCTTTTCTTCCTCCTCCTCTTCCTCTCTCCTCCTCGTCTTTCTCCTTCCTTTTCTCTTCTTATTCCTCCTCCTCCTCTTTGGATTTCTTCCTCTCCTTCTCCCTTGTCGTCCTTTCTTTTTATTGCCTTCTTCCTCTTCTTCCTTCTTTTCCTTCTCGACTTCCTCCTTCTCCTCCTCCTCCTCTTCCTCTTCTGTCCTCCCCTTTCCCCATATCCTCATCCGTCTCTGTCTCCTCTTCCTTCCCCTCTCTTCCTTTTCCTTCTATATTCTTCCTCCTATCTTCTTCCTTTTCTTCCTCCTTCTCTTCCACCCTCCCTTTTCCTCCTCTCTTCCTTCTCCTCTTCCTTCTTTCTCCTCCTTTTCCTCTTCCTCCCCTTTTCTCTTCCTCTTCTCCCTTCCTCCTCCTCTCTCTTCCTCCTCTTCCTCTCTCTCCTCTTCCTCTTCCTTCTCTTCCTCTTCTTTCTCCTCCTCCCCCTCCCCCTCCTCCTCCTTTCTCTTCCTTCCTTTTCTCCCTCCTCCTTCCCTTCCTCCTCCCTCTCCTCTACTTCTACCTTCTCTACTTCCTTCGTCCTCCTCCTTCCTTTCCTTGGGTTTCCCCTCCTTTTTTTCTCCCGTTCCTCCTCCTCTTTCTTCGTCCCCCTCCTTCCCTTCCTCTTCCTCCTTCTCCTCTCCTTCCTCCTCCTACTTGTCCCACACCCCCTCCCCAGCCCACGCTTCCTTGGGGGCAGCCTCCCTCCCCTCCAGGGTCCTCCCCCAGGGGCTGCCCCCTCCTCTCCCCCCTCCCCCTGGGAGGCAGCAGGCGAGGCTCTGCCACTTCCTGTTCCCCTGGCTGAGCGCCGTGGGGCAGTTGCCAAGTCGGACGGGCGGGCGCGCCAGGCAAGCAGGAAGGCAGGCAGGCACGGAAGACAAGAAAGGCAGGGAGGGGGGGGGTCTCCCAGCCCTGCCTCCTCGACCCCCACCCGGGACACCCACCCACCACCCATTCGCAGCCAGGCAGCCCGCCCTACTGGCTGCTCCCATGCCATGTTCCCCTGCCCGGCCGGCTGGCAGTGCCCGGCCGGCCGGGAAGGGCCCCCCTGCACCCCCTCCTCGGTTGAGGGGACCCCCAGTTGCAGGACGACCCCCGCCCGGGACACCCACCCACCACCCATTCGCAGCCAGGCAGCCCGCCCTACTGGCTGCTCCCATGCCATGCTCCCCTGCCCGGCCGGCTGGCAGTGCCCGGCCGGCCGGAAAGGGCCCCCCTGCACCCCCTCCTCGGTTGAGGGGACCCCCAGTTGCAGGACGACCCCCGCCCGG